GCTCTTTCGGCGCCTAGCCACCATGCCACCCGAAGAAAGCAGAAGGACTGATATACTGCCTACACAACAGTTGTCAGCTGGGTTCGAAAAACGGACCTTCCAGTCAGTAAGTTCGGGTTTAAACATAGCCATTCAGAGCTCGGACCTAGACATCATGGTAGTCAAAATACAAGCCCCGAAAATCTCATTCATATAGGCTGGATCAACCTGGGAATGAGTCGGTGGATTGCTGCGAGCGCCCCTACGTGAGTAGATTGATTTGATATGCACACTACAACGAAGTAAACTAAAATAACGGCCCAACAGTAACTCATCGGAAATGAAACGAAAGTACGCACCTATGGATGGGACGATCATTATGCTTAACAGAGGGATAGCCTCCTTATTCCTGAGACATTCCAAGGTCGTTTTGTAAAAGTACAACCAAATGGTCTAAAGTAATACATCTTTGGCCGCAGACCTCAGACAAAAAATTGGATTCTCAATACTGATATTCTCAAACACGCAGAATGAGTGCGGATTGACACCAGCTTCGCTGTATAGATCATCTAAGCACACCTTGAAGCAGACGCACTCACGGTTAAGTAAAGAATGAGGCTGGAACTCGAGATACCGGAAATTTCGCTGTCGAAATGATCTTCAGGTGAATTCTTCATTTTGGGAAAGTCTGGCATTGGACAGAGCGGCCTGGCAAACTGTAGTGCGTAGCAGCAGCTTGGGTCTACGTGAAACAGTACCCCCAACAGGTTAAGGACAGGTTACAGCCTCCATCAAGCGTAATAAATACTATGCGTCGTCTTGGTGGCGACCACATCTACGGAATAACTTGATCAAGCTAGTTTATACGCTAAAGAACCGTAACCGTGTTAAAGGCCGTTGATTGAACGGACACCGCCTAAGCAATCATGAGAATGCTGGTAGAACACACATGCTGGTTGCAACGACCGTGAAGCCCATCCGTGTTAAGTATGATGGACGGCGCGAAAAACATCCCCTACATGTAAAAAATTAATGCCGGTGAAGCGTGAAGTGCCGTGTGTAAAAACCAGCTGCTAGATTCTACTTATGTGTAAGGATGGTCACAATTCGATCAGTCACCTAAGCGCGAAAGAATTGGCTGGAAGCACCGAGTATGTGGGCTCTTAAACATTACCCTGAAGCACTAGATGTTTTGTACTATGTACGGTCCGAAAGGACGCACAAACATGGAGCTGTCCTGGTAAAAAAGGCCCAAGTGTTATTAGGTCATCACAGACAGGCTGCAGTGCCAGTTTAACACGCTTAGTGAAGTTCGATCGAAGAATTGGAGACAGAATGGCTGATTGTTCGAAGGTAATAAAATAATCAGAAAATGACAATATACACTTACGGAACAGGTCTCCAAGCCTATTAAATTCGATTCGACTGTCGATTTGATGAAATCCGGTTCCCCCAGGCGACCAGTGTGTCCATATTTATGGAATCAGCGATGCTGCCTTCCCCCGAGGAATCATGGGTTGTTAAGGGTTGGCCCCAAAAACCGCAAACTCCGATCTCCAAACGGTTGACCGTGACTGCCGGCGAAGTAAAGGATTGAAGTTCATGCAGCGCCTGCACAAATGGTCCAACCGAACCAACAATGCCTGAGTAGGGTCACAATGAACGGAGACATTAAAAAATGCGGGGAAGGTGAGATCTCTTGATTTCGACAGACGGAGACCCTCTAGCAATGTCCGAACGGTTAAAAACGGATTCACCGAAGCAAATTTGGTCACCGCGTCTACATGCTGATGTAAAGGATTCGCAACAGCTCTTTCGTAAATAAGCTCGAAAAATATCAAACCCAACGACCAAACATCCACCTGAACAGTGAGTGGGCATGGCGAGCTGAAATCCAGGATCGAACACAAAGATCGGCGCTTAGCAACGACAGCAGACAAAAGGAATACCTCCGGGGCAGAATAAACTGGATCCGCAATGGGAAACTCGACATCCCGTCCCCAATTAGTGGCATAATACATGCCGTAACCGCCTATCTTCACACTGTCGTTGGCATCCAACATAATGATCGAAGGTGTAAGGCAGCAATGCACCAGCTGCTGTTCGCCCAAATACAGAACTGCAGAAAAGCACTCCACAAAGCGTGCGACCAACCAAGCTGCATCCAGCACGGGTGTGGATAGTGTAGCTAGGCTACGACGATAGGCTTCAGTAACGACAAACAAACGTTCTGGCTTCCGGTGTATCACGTCCACATAGCGACATAAATTTCGGTGGGACAATCGGCGTAGTGAATGGAGCCGGGCGAAACTGACAATGGATGGGGGTAATTTTGGCACGCCACTAGATTCAAAATCCGTGTAACTAGGTTTGGACACCTCAAAATGAATGAGCCCAAGTGGCAAGTGATAGTCCATATTTTTAGTTATAATGAACCAGGCTGAAGCATGTTGGTGGATAATGACAGCTAAAACACATGGAATTCGAGAACGAGTTCAGAGCAATGCATGTGTGGCAAAAGCAAGCAGTGCATAAATAGGAGGGGAAAAATAATGAGCACCAACCCAAAGGCATCACGCTGTCGTGGTGGTCAGGCTTCTGTGCTGCAATAAACTCAGTTCCCAGGGTTCAAGCGGCACTCGAAACCGCACTGTCCGATCGCAGTTTGTTTGATCGTGACCACCGGCGAATTAGTCAATACGGTCGAAATACTTTTAGAACCAAAGAGTCCGGTACTGCTCGTAAGGTGCTGTGCACCTTTTAGAACCAAAGAGTCCGGTACTGCTCGTAAGGTACCTGCTGTGCACACCTAACAGCAAGAGTGATGCCCTATTCCCTGCGCACTCGGGTCAGGCCGGCCTCCTACAGCCAACTGGTCAGGCTGTTGAGTCACTGGTTCGAAGAAGGCTTCCCCATGAAAACCCTAGCCACCGCTGTCTCGCGATCCAGACCCTCGGGTGAGGGGGGGTCCCCGCTCAAAACCCTACATCCACCCACTGCCTTGTGGACCAGACTCTGTGTCAAAGGCCCAAGGTGGGGTACCCTAACTAAACCCTCTTATACATCCTGGGCAACCGGGAAGTATCATTTGTCTTTGCAGCTCTTCGCACACCGACCCCCACAGCACCTCTCCACCCTCGCCCAGAAAAATAGACCAAAATAACAACTTACTAACCTCAAAAGATCTGATCCACGTTGTAGAGTTTAATGTCCGTGCTCTATAGTAAATTGGGCAACAGGCATCCCTCGTAAACACTTTGTCTTCCCTCTCTACCGGTATATGTTGTCCCCGAAACACATATACAAGACCCCACTTCGGCCGTCGCCCTCCTCAAGCCGCTCAGGACGGACCCACATGCGTCATATTTCACTCTCTGGGTATCCGATGATCCTGGCTCGTAGTATCTACGGTGAGGTACTCAGGCTCGAACCGCTTTACTGAACTGGATCCCAGTAAGTATACATCTTCACGATGTGCAGTTGTTTGGCTCAGTTAAGATCAATGAAGGTCGATACGGCAAACGGTGTTTGTTTGTCGTATCTGCATTCATCCCAACAAACTGCAGTTCTGAGACCGAGAAGGGCGGGTGTTATCAAGATCTGACGACCGCTTCGGTCAGCACGAAAGGCGGGTGATATGAATGTCCAATATGGACGGCTAAGTCCGGAAGAAGCACAGTTAGGTGGTAGATTTGGAGTCGATCATGAGCGCACGGATAATGGGAAGCAGCTTCTTCAGTCGTCTGTTCACAGCCAGTACGAACTTCCGATACAAACGCTCCCATAGGATTACTTGAAGACCACCTACCACGGGGCAGTGCTATATCTAATTGGACCATGTGGCTATTAGTTACCGATGGAGAGCCTCGGCTAAGGATTGTCGTTCCTTCCGGGATACCCAACTTGACTCTGATCACGCCACCGTGCGGGCCCGCTTGAAACTTCGCTTTCCATCAGCGATGGGAGAGCAGCCCAAGGGAAACAGCTCTGTTCATGAACCTCAACAAGGCTCAGTAGCCAATCTCGAGCTGATCTGGCTGAAAAGTTATTGAAAACGCAGTCTGCGGATGACGAAGATTACTTGGAGGTGGAATGGAGGCGAGTTAAGAAAACAATGCTGTCAGCTTTCAGAAGTGTTCTTCCAGCTCATCTGCCTCGACTAAATGAACACTGGATACCGTCGACAGCAGAATACGTTAGAATCAAGCTGGGTTTTGCTATGGTCGAGAATGCATCGACCATATATTTACCTTGTGATGAATTCTTCAACAGCGTAACTCCTTCAGACGTCCTACGTTGGTAGCTGTTCTTGATCTGAAAGCTGCTTTTGCTTCCGTCGATCGTCAGCAACTTTGTCAGTGACTGGCGAGCAAAGGTGCTCCTTCCAGATTTCTACCCCTATGAGGCACAGTGTGCGAATTCCTGTGGGCGCGTACGACTAAATGGAAAGCAAGCACCTAAGTTCACTACGCCCAGTGGTGCAAGATAAGGCTGTCTTCTTTGCCCTTTCCTCTCCAAGTTCGTTGTTATTGATATGTTTCTTGAAAGTTCTCTGCCTGTCTCTGAAACCTCGGGATTCGAAATGCTCCCGGGACGTTCCTTTACAGGCACTCAGTATACAGACGATATTGTTTTCCTTGGTCCAGACCTTTTCCAAATGCAACCGATTTTAAATAATATAGATAGCTCTGACGCACGGTTTGGCGTGCGCTTTATACCTGCAAAGTGTAAAGTGCTACTACAAGTCTGGATGGGACCCAACCAAAACTTAATGCTTGCAGGTGAGCCCATCGACGTGGTAGATAAATTTGTTTACCTGGACTAAAAGCTCCAGTGCATTGGCTAAAGGAGATTATTTCTCAAACCGGAAGGGCCAGGGCAGCTTTTAGCAACCTTCGACACTTATGGCTCTGACGTGACGTAAGGTTGTGCGGGGAATACTGCTTTATGGACCAGAAACGTGGGCCCTACGCGCAGAGAACATACCAAAGATGTCAGTGTTTGACCATCGGCCTCTCCGAAGAATTGGTCAAGACTGGTGGGAACATCGTATTAGAAATGGTGAGGTACGCCAAATGATCTTAGGATGAAGGAACTCCGCCGCGATGGATGAATTACGTGTCATACGCTACGCTCGTTAGAACAAGTATTCGCAAGCCGGAAAACTGTCCACCTTGCAGAGCTCTTTTCATCCAGCTCTATGCTGGCTTAATATTCACCCAAACTTATCGCAGGGAGTGGTGTATCCCCTGAGAGTCAAAGGTGAACACTAGTCATTTTCGTGTTCTGATTACACGCAAGAAACATCTTACGGCTGTTTATTATAACGTATTATGTTCACTTGCCGCCCGTTCTCCCTCTATTTCGCTCCTATTTGACGTCTACTTATTCTAATATCAATATTTTGTTACTCGTCCGTCATTGCTTGCAAGTTCCTCCTCGTTCTAACTATTCCCTAGCGCCCAACTATTTCCTGCCCCGATAAGCACGACCTCAGAACCAGCGAGNACCGTGAAGCCCATCCATGTTAAGTATGATGGACGGCGCGAAAAACATCCCCTACATGTAAAAAATTAATGCCGGTGAAGCGTGAAGTGCCGTGTGTAAAAATCAGCTGCTAGATTCTACTTATGTGTAAGGATGGTCGCAATTCGATCAGTCACCTAAGCGCGAAAGAATTGGCCGGAAGCACCGAGTATGTGGGCTCTTAAACATTACCCTGAAGCACTAAATGTTTTGTACTGTGTACGGTCCAAAACGACGCACAAACATGGAGCGGTCCTGGTAAAAAAGGCCGAAGTGTTATTAGGTCATCACAGACAGGCTGCAGTGCCAGTTTAACACGCTTAGTGAAGTTAGATCGAAGAATTGGAGACAGAATGGCTGATTGTTTGAAGGTAATAAAATAATCAGAAAATGACAATATACACTTACGGAACGGGTCTTCAAACCTATTAAATTGGATTCGACTGTGGATGTGATGAAATCCGGACAGAGTTCAATTATGGCTTCCGACGGGATGGGTCGAAGTAAAGGATTGAAGTTCATACAGCGCCTGCACAAANACACCTCTGTGGTTATCACATTCACTGCGTCATACTAAAAGAACAATCGGCTATAAGGGCGTCGATCCGAGCCTCATCAAAATGACGCAATGGATTAGGGTAGTGACCCAGGTGCAGTATAGCGCGGATAACTACATTGAAAACATTATGATTACTTACCTGGGAGATTGTGCTTCATTCACGTTACCTGGACACTCAATCACGTAGGGAACGTCCATAAAACCCGAGGGTTGCATCATGGCCAAAACAGCAGGTATCCGCAAAATCGGAGGGTTCGTACATCGGCCAACGCCGAAATAGTGTGGAGAGGATACGTTGGCAGACCCAGTTTGGACGGCGTGAGCAGTAATTTGTGCAACGTTGTAGGTTTCAGCACCAAGTAGCATGGCTTCTTGCCACACTGAATCGAGATTACCACCTGTGAGTTGCCAGTAATAGTAAAGCTCCGTAACATCCGTTTGACTGGAGAGGAATTCAATCGCCTTGGCTGTTTCATGCGAAACATCGCTCCCATCGCTCACGGACGACAAAACTGCTGCTGAAGAACTACTGAGAGGCGGTCGAAAATGTCCTTGTTTTGTGGCAGGCTGAAAATTTATATAAGTAGTGCAATCAAAATCAACAGCAACTTAGAGAACAAGACCTAAATCACCGGCAACATATGCATAAACAATCGACAGCCCCAGACAACTTTCAGCTGTAACGCTCTTTCGGCGCCTAGCCGCCATGCCACCCGAAGGAAGCAGAAGGACTGATATACTGCCTACACAACAGCTGTCAGCTGGGTTCGAAAAACGGACCCTCCAGTCAGTAAGTTTGGGTTTAAACATAGCCATCCAGAGCTCGGTCCTAGACATCATGGTAGTAAAAATACAAGCCCCGAAAATCTTATTCATATAGGCTGGATCAACCTGGGAATGAGTCGGTGGATTGCTGCGAGCGCCCCTACGTGAGTAGATTGATTTGATATGCACACTACAACGAAGTAAACTAAAATAACGGCCCAACAGTAACTCATCGGAAATGAAACGAAAGTACGCGCCTATGGATGGGACGATCATTATGTTTAACAGAGAGATAGTCTCCTTATTCCTGAGACATTCCAAGGTCGTTTAGTAAAAGTACAACCAAATGGTCTAAAGTAATACATCTCTGGCCGCAGACCTCAGACAAAAAATTGTATTCTCAATACTGAGATTCTCAAACACGCAGAATGAGTGCGGATTGACACCAGCTTCGCTGTATAGATCTAAGTACACCTTGAAGCAGACGCATTCACGGTTAATTAAAGAATGAGGCTGGAACTCGAGATACCGGAAATTTCGCTGTCGAAATGATCTTCAGGTGAATTCTTCATTTCGGGAAAGTCTGGCATTGGACAGAGCGGCCTGGCAAACTGTAGTGCGTAGCAGCAGCTTGGGTCTACGTGAAACAGTACCCCCAACAGGTTAAGGACAGGTTACAGCCTCCATCAAGCGTAATAAATACTATGCGTCGTCTTGGTGGCGACCACATCTACGGAATAACTTGATCAAGCTAGTTTATACGCTAAAGAACCGTAACCGTGTTAAAGGCCGTTGATTCAACGGACACCGCCTAAGCAATCATGAGAATGCTGGTAGAACACACATGCTGGTTGCAACGACCGTGAAGCCCATCCGTGTTAAGTATGATGGACGGCGCGAAAAACATCCCCTACATGTAAAAAATTAATGCCGGTGAAGCGTGAAGTGCCGTGTGTAAAAACCAGCTGCTAGATTCTACTTATGTGTAAGGATGGTCACAATTCGATCAGTCACCTAAGCGCGAAAGAATTGGCTGGAAGCACCGAGTATGTGGGCTCTTAAACATTACCCTGAAGCACTAGATGTTTTGTACTATGTACGGTCCGAAAGGACGCACAAACATGGAGCTGTCCTGGTAAAAAAGGCCCAAGTGTTATTAGGTCATCACAGACAGGCTGCAGTGCCAGTTTAACACGCTTAGTGAAGTTCGATCGAAGAATTGGAGACAGAATGGCTGATTGTTCGAAGGTAATAAAATAATCAGAAAATGACAATATACACTTACGGAACAGGTCTCCAAGCCTATTAAATTCGATTCGACTGTCGATTTGATGAAATCCGGGCAGAGTTCAATTATGGCTTCCGACGGGATGGGTCGAAGTAAAGGATTGAAGTTCATGCAGCGCCTGCACAAATGGTCCAACCGAACCAACAATGCCTGAGTAGGGTCACAATGAACGGAGACATTCAAAAATGCGGGGAAGGTGAGATCTCTTGATTTCGACAGACGGAGACCCTCTAGCAATGTCCGAACGGTTAAAAACGGATTCACCGAAGCAAATTTGGTCACCGCGTCTACATGTTGATGTAAAGGATTCGCAACAGCTCTTTCGTAAATAAGCTCGAAAAATATCAAACCCAACGACCAAACATCCACCTGAACAGTGAGTGGGCATGGCGAGCTGAAATCCAGGATCGAACACAAAGATCGGCGCTTAGCAACGACAGCAGACAAAAGGAATACCTCCGGGGCAGAATAAACTGGATCCGCAATGGGAAACTCGACATCCCGTCCCCAATTAGTGGCATAATACATGCCGTAACCGCCTATCTTCACACTGTCGTTGGCATCCAACATAATGATCGAAGGAGTAAGGCAGCAATGCACCAGCTGCTGTTCGCCCAAATACAGAACTGCAGAAAAGCACTCCACAAAGCGTGCGACCAACCAAGCTGCATCCAGCACGGGTGTGGATAGTGTAGCTAGGCTACGACGATAGGCTTCAGTAACGACAAACAAACGTTCTGGCTTCCGGTGTATCACGTCCACATAGCGACATAAATTTCGGTGGGACAATCGGCGTAGCGAATGGAGCCGGGCGAAACTGACAATGGATGGGGGTAATTTTGGCAGGCCACTAGATTCAAAATCCGTGTAACTAGGTTTGGAAACCTCAAAATGAATGAGCCCAAGTGGCAAGTGATAGTCCATATTTTTAGTTATAATGAACCAGGCTGAAGCATGTTGGTGGATAATGACAGCTAAAACACATGGAATTCGAGAACGAGTTCAGAGCAATGCATGTGTGGCAAAAGCAAGCAGTGCATAAATACGAGGGGAAAAATAATGAGCACCAACCCAAAGGCATCACGCTGTCGTGGTGGTCAGGCTTCTGTGCTGCAATAAACTCAGTTCCCAAGGGTTCAAGCATGCCAGTAAGGCCAACGGGGAGAAGCCGGACGAAGGACAGCGAGTCCCCATACTGCGAGTAATCGTGCTACGATGTGTCCTGAGGGTAAACTCGTACTGACCTCTGCGATAGGAGTGTGAAGGAAGTAAGGCGTTTACCCCAGGCGATCAGCATGTACATATTTACGCAAGAAACGATGCTGCCTTCCCCCGAGTAAGAACTGGCTAGAAAAGATCGGCACTCGAAACCGCACTGTCCGATCGCCTAAAGTTTGATCGTGACCACCGGCGAATTAGTCAATACGGTCGAAATACTTTTAGAACCAAAGAGTCCGGTACTGCTCGTAAGGTACCTGCTGTGCACACCTAACAGCAATAGTGATGCCCTATTCCCTGCGCACTCGGGTCAGGCCGGCCTCCTACAGCCAACTGGTCAGGCTGTTGAGTCACTGGTTCGAAGAAGGCTTCCCCATGAAAACCCTAGCCACCGCTGTCTCGCGATCCAGACCCTCGGGTGAGGGGGGGTCCCCGCTCAAAACCCTACATCCACCCACTGCCTTGTGGACCAGACTCTGTGTCAAAGGCCCAAGGTGGGGTACCCTAACTAAACCCTCTTATACATCCTGGGCAACCGGGAAGTATCATTTGTCTTTGCAGCTCTTCGCACACCGACCCCCACAGCACCTCTCCACCCTCGCCCAGAAAAATAGACCAAAATAACAACTTACTAACCTCAAAAGATCTGATCCACGTTGTAGAGTTTAATGTCCGTGCTCTATAGTAAATTGGGCAACAGGCATCCCTCGTAAACACTTTGTCTTCCCTCTCTACCGGTATATGTTGTCCCCGAAACACATATACAAGACCCCACTTTGGTCGTCGTTCTCTTCAAGCCGCTCAGGACGGACCCACATGCGTCATATTTCACTCTCTGGGTATCCGATGATCCTGGCTCGTGGTATCTACGGTGAGGTACTCAGGCTTGAACCGCTTTACTGAACTGGATCCCAGTAAGTATACATCTTCACGATGTGCAGTTGTTTGGCTCAGTTAAGATCAATGAAGGTCGATACGGCAAACGGTGTTTGTTTGTCGTATCTGCATTCATCCCAACAAACTGCAGTTCTGAGACCGAGAAGGGCGGGTGTTATCAAGATCTGACGACCGCTTCGGTCAGCACGAAAGGCGGGTGATATGAATGCCCAATACGGACGGCTAAGTCCGGAAGAAGCACAGTTAGGTGGTAGATTTGGAGTCGATCATGAGCGCACGGATAATGGGAAGCAGCTTCTTCAGTCGTCTGTTCACAGCCAGTACGAACTTCCGATACAAACGCTCCCATAGGATTACTTGAAGACCACCTACCACGGGGCAGTGCTATATCTAATTGGACCATGTGGCTATTAGTTACCGATGGAGAGCCTCGGCTAAGGATTGTCGTTCCTTCCGGGATACCCAACTTGACTCTGATCACGCCACCGTGCGGGCCCGCTTGAAACTTCGCTTTCCATCAGCGATGGGAGAGCAGCCCAAGGGAAACAGCTCTGTTCATGAACCTCAACAAGGCTCAGTAGCCAATCTCGAGCTGATCTGGCTGAAAAGTTATTGAAAACGCAGTCTGCGGATGACGAAGATTACTTGGAGGTGGAATGGAGGCGAGTTAAGAAAACAATGCTGTCAGCTTTCAGAAGTGTTTTTCTAGCTCATCTGCCTCGACTAAATGAACATTGGATATCTTCGACAGCGAAATACGTTAGAATCAAGCTGGGTTTTGCCATGATCGAGAATGCATCGACCATATATTTACCTTGTGATGAATTCTTCAACAGCGTAACTCCTTCAGACGTCCTACGTTGGTAGCTGTTCTTGATCTGAAAGCTGCTTTTGCTTCCGTCGATCGTCAGCAACTTTGTCAGTGACTGGCGAGCAAAGGTGCTCCTTCCAGATTTCTACCCCTATGAGGCACAGTGTGCGAATTCCTGTGGGCGCGTACGACTAAATGGAAAGCAAGCACCTAAGTTCACTACGCCCAGTGGTGCAAGATAAGGCTGTCTTCTTTGCCCTTTCCTCTCCAAGTTCGTTGTTATTGATATGTTTCTTGAAAGTTCTCTGCCTGTCTCTGAAACCTCGGGATTCGAAATGCTCCCGGGACGTTCCTTTACAGGCACTCAGTATACAGACGATATTGTTTTCCTTGGTCCAGACCTTTTCCAAATGCAACCGATTTTAAATAATATAGATAGCTCTGACGCACGGTTTGGCGTGCGCTTTATACCTGCAAAGTGTAAAGTGCTACTACAAGTCTGGATGGGACCCAACCAAAACTTAATGCTTGCAGGCGAGCCCATCGACGTGGTAGATAAATTTGTTTACCTGGACTAAAAGCTCCAGTGCATTGGCTAAAGGAGATTATTTCTCAAACCGGAAGGGCCAGGGCAGCTTTTAGCAACCTTCGACACTTATGGCTCTGACGTAACGTAAGGATGTGCGAGCAATACTGAGCAATATGGATCAGAAACGTGGCCCCTACGCGCTGAGAAAATACCAAAGATGTCGGTGTTTGACCATCGGTCTCTCCGAAGAATTGGCCAAGACTGGTGGGAACATCGTATTAGCAATGGTGAGGTACGCCAAATGATCTTAGGATGAAGGAACTCCGCCGCGATGGATGAATTACGTGTCATACGCTACGCTCGTTAGAACAAGTATTCGCAAGCCGGAAAACTGTCCACCTTGCAGAGCTCTTTTCATCCAGCTCTATGCTGGCTTAATATTCACCCAAACTTATCGCAGGGAGTGGTGTATCCCCTGAGAGTCAAAGGTGAACACTAGTCATTTTCGTGTTCTGATTACACGCAAGAAACATCTTACGGCTGTTTATTATAACGTATTATGTTCACTTGCCGCCCGTTCTCCCTCTATTTCGCTCCTATTTGACGTCTACTTATTCTAATATCAATATTTTGTTACTCGTCCGTCATTGCTTGCAAGTTCCTCCTCGTTCTAACTATTCCCGAGCGCCCAACTATTTCCTGCCCCGATAAGCACGACCTCAGAACCAGCGAGTTCACTTGGTTTCAACCTGACCTCCACTCCCGCGGTAGAAATCCTCTCCTTTCGTATTTAGTGTGAGTGAGGTTGGCCACCCCCGTTTTGCTACCTGTGGTCTGAGCTTATACCCCAAACGTTCAAGGTTTTCCCATTCGTACAGCGGTTACCATTTTAGTTCAAAACAGTGAAGTTTTATCCATAGCACTCACCGGTTGTTTCACGGATTCACAGATTGATACACAAGATCGAGGCCTTTGCCCACGTTTCCCGGGTCGGTTTTGTTCTTGTCGGTCAGTGGCTGCCGTTCACCT